GCAAACCAAATGATAGAGAGACAAGACCATGCTGATGAGACACCTTCCTTCCTTCTGCCCTGACGACCCCCTCTGCGCTCGCTGCCTCTTATATTTGTAATCAAGCTGTTGTCCAGATAAAAAATGGCTCCCCTATGGCACTGATTGCTAGATACCAACAGATTTATATGCCAGTGGTTGAAAAAAAAATCTTTGGTAAGAGCAAATATAAAACTACTGTCCTAGGTGAGTTTGGGAAATCACAGCTGATTCTGCCCACTCAACGCGAGGCTGATTCAGAAACAGGAAGGTGGGGGAGATGCGCATTTTTGTCTTATATGTCCTTCACGTCACAGAAACTTCATAAATTTGCCTGAGAAATAGTTAAGAAGTCATCACTGGAGTGATTCGTCTTAGCCATTGGGGACCATTTATTTTTCTACATCACAGGTTTGGCATCTTACCTGTCTAGTGGTTTGCTAAGACTTCAGAGGTCATTTTACCAGAGCAGCTACGAAGAGCACTCTTACTCCAGCAAAGTTATGTAAAGTGTGAGAGATCTTTCCATTAGCACGTAGTACGCACCACAGATGTGGAAGAAAAGTTTCAGTTCAATATGTACCTGCCAGCTTTCCACTTGTTCATATCCTTTGGTCAGACTGATCACCTACAAGGGCTCCATGGGTTTCCTTCAGTGTCTAATGGGCACTGCTCCTGTTGACCTCCAGAAAGCGCTTTACAAATGTTCCCTACTCAAGTGCACAAAAATGCCAATTGGTGTGGGGCTTCCTACGATTGACATCATAAAGACTTTATCCTGAACACATTAAAAATGGCCAGACCATTCCAAGTCAATAGGTCATCAGGAGATGATAATATAGTTTTATTCTTTCCCCCTTTAGGATTTAAGAAGGTAACCGTTGGTTAGTAAGAATAGCGAGACTCTGAGTCAGTCCTCCTCCAGGTGATACAAGCTTTGTATTCTGGTCCTTATGCCATCAGTCTGCTGTAGTATTGCTACGTGTCTGATGCTAGCACTGTCTCCATTTTCCTTGACTTTGTGCTCCAACAAATGTTTTTCACATCTCATTACATACTATAATTTAATTTAGGAAAAAATGGCTGAGTGATGCTGATCGTATAAAAAGATGAGGGGTAAGACCCCTGTGTTATAGCCTAGGTGGATGGAGGAACACCTGTGGGGCTTGCAAGGAAACACTCAGAACAGGATGTCCTGACTGAGGCAAGGGTCATGTTTGGTTCATCATTGAGTCCCTAGCAATTAACATTTCCTAGTATGTGGAAAATATTTACAGAGGACTCAGTTCCTGAAGAAGACTAGTGTTCCATATTCCCATGGGCAAAAAACTGACTTTTAGTTTATAAATGAGACTGAAGGTCCAGCCATGTCACCCTGTTGTGTGTGTGTGGAGACTGGAGGTCCAGCCACGTCACCCTGTTGTGTGTGTGGCGCTTACCCGAGGATTTCTATGTACATAACATTACATTAGGAGTCGGGAGAAAAGCAAGGAAATCAACACGCAAAACAAACTTGCTAATTTCTCTTCCGGTTGGAAGGACAAGTTATACACAAGCAGAAGCTTAATTTCTAACTCTAGAGATAGAAATGAGTTCCAAGAAGACACACGACTGTGGGCTGTAGTCCTTAAGGAAAGTTATATAATCAAGGCAGGGAGACTGTTGAGAAGGGAAAAGACAGCACCTAGGAAGGACGGAGATGGCAGAAAGGAGCAGAGCCACAGAAAAAGGAACAGAGGATTTGGGACTCTGACAACTCAGGAAGCAATCATTTAACTTAGAAAAAGCTGGTGGTAGCAATAAGCAGAGGAAGGAAAACCATAAGCAACAGCACCCTGTGTAACAATTGATACAACCCTAAACTCCTTGCTGGGAACATAAGCAACGTAAAAACACAGTCATGCTAACATACACCGCAAAGGCTGAAGAAAGTCACAAGGCTCAGAGGAGCCCACAGCACTCCCAGGTCTGTGGAGAAGCAGGTAGATGATGTTTGTGGAGAAAGCAGACCGCCGTGCATTGTGACGCATCTTTAGGGGGGCATGCAGGGCGGGGCTAGGGAAGACTTCAACACATGACGCGTGAGAGGACTTCTGATGTCAACACACACATGACTTCCCCAAAGTCTTAGCTGGCTAGAGGTCCTGCTGTAGCCCTTCTCGAACTGTAGCCATTTCTATTTATTTTATATTCTTAAGGGCACTTTGGATCTAATCTGTGTGCATAATGTTCTACAAAGCAGGATGAATGCATACAGCAAAAGTTTATGATTTTGTCTTAAAGATAAGGAAAATAATTCCTGCATCTGTCAACTCAAGGGGAAATATTAAGAACCTGAAGGAGAAGTGAGGAGAGACGATCAACACCTAAAAGTGTGTGGGGAGGAGCTTTCTTCTTTTCTAACCATGTCTAGGAATCATTATTAAGCAATCTTTACTAAAGTTAATGGTTGCCATGAGATAGAATCAACCACATATTGTGTTTGTGCTTGAGTATATAAAATAGATTTAGCAAAAAAAAAATAAGTTTTCAATAAATTCTTCCAAAGTTATTTTAAAGAAAACTTTAAACTTAATTTATCAATAAAACTTAAAACTTATCAATAGAACATCAATGCGACGAAATATTAGCTCTGGAGAATGTTCCCACAACAAAGCACACGGCTGTGCTGCTACATCTAACCAACATTAATTATATCCTTGCGATGTCTTCTGTCTTCTTCCCAAAAGCTAATAAGACAGACCCACACGACATCACAGTTAATGGGAGCGTGGTGCCTGTTGCTTAGGCAACAGGAAGAAGAAATGCAGGTCAGAATGTGCTACCCGGAAAACAAGAGCTAGAACATGACGCCGAATGGAGATCGAGCGGGTCTAACGGATTTTCACATTAATGAAATTTGCTTCTTAAAGCGGGCCAATCACCGTGCGCTTTAAGTTCAGCATTTAGCAGACTATGGCAATCGGGGAGTAATTATCATACAGGTAGGCATCCTTTTCCTACAACGTCGGCAGCAAACAGTATGACAGCAGCATGTAATGGACTAATTGATAACACCGTTTCATGATCTGCTACGTTTTCACAATTAATTAGTCCTTCTCCGTGGCAAACCAAAGCTGTTTTGTTTTAAAATTCGGTCTCTTGATGCAAGCCTTTGGCTTGCGTGAATTAACAAGGGGCTCTTATTTTCTGGAAGATTTCATACGATACTTGGAAAGGGACAGGAAAAGCCACAATCTAGGATCGGAACTTGATCTTCCCACGGTGCTCGGGGCTCTTGCCCTTTGGATACATTTTGTGCACAACTTACAAATGCTTGTTCTTCACACTCTGCCCTCAAGTCCTTTCAAACCTGTGCGATCACCTTCTAGTTAAATACTTTCGAAGGGGGATTACATTCACTCGTAAGCGTTTAATATTCAGAGGAAAATTAAGCGGAATTAAAGTCCTTCAGTGTGGCCGATTAATTCAGGGAAGCTAACGGCCAACTTCTCAGGAGCCAGAGTGAATTTGACAAGGGCTTGGGAATGAGACACCCCATTTCAAGGAGAGACAACGTAGAGATGTGTAGTCAATGATCTTCATTTTGTTTGCTAGCTCCTCTAATTATTAAGAGCATCTTTATTGCCCCAAGTCTGTCTGAACTCTGCTCAGGCTGTAACACCTTCTACTTCCATCCTATTTCAACACCCACGGGGTCTCGGCGGCAAACCAGTGACTGTCTGATGGACACAGGAAAATAAATGCACAGCTCTTTATTAAAAGAAAAACAACAAGAAACCCATAAGGGATTTTATGCATGTATTAGTTAAAGCTCATAGGATGGGCCAGATTTATGCATCTTAAAAAAGCTTGTAGGCGTACATATTTTTGTAAAATTTAACTATCTTAATAACCTTCAAATCTATAATAATTCTGTCAAGTTTAGAGAGAAACAGTCCTGGAAAAGGAACGGGAAAGGTCTGACTAGCCCTCTGTTTTTATGATCATGCTGTAGGTGTCTCCCCAGCATTTTATTTCAGAGGATCCATTAAGTATTTCTATAAGCGGATGGTGTGCTACATGCTTATGACATGCAGGTCTCCCTAAATTTAGGGACCAAGCGACACGTGGGGTGGGACCTTTGAAGCAAGGAAGGGTGAGAGGGCTGTGGTGTGGCTTAGAGGGGCTTAACAAGAGGAAGCGATGAGCGCTGGAGGAGGTCTCAGGATGATTAGGAAACTAGACTGTCGCCTGCACCCCTCCCATCCTCCTCCTCACCTATATGCACAGTGGGAAGTTTGCACACCCCCGGTTTAGACCGCATAGAGACCCAAACTCGGAAGGACATCAATGCATCTGGTACAGCAGCTCCTCTCTATCCAATTGATCCAAGTGTTTGTTTTCCACCCAAAGTAACAAACAATACTTCACCGCTCCTCAATCGGCATGTGGAAGAAAGAGCATGCTCTCGCTAATGGACCCGCTGAAGCGGCTGGCTAATGAAGGGCTGGCCGCAGGATTTAAACTGCTTTATTGAGTGATTAGCAGGAAAAATGATCGCCATACCATCAACAAAGCGGATTGTCTAATTAATCACAATGCTGATGTCCAAGTGAAATAGCATGTCTCTAGAATCTAGGGTTAGCTGAAGCGTGGTATAATATAACTGTATGCTAAGATCACAGATTCATAGGGGAAAAAATCACACAAAGAATGGCAGGGAGAATATAAATGTTAATCTTCTTTCAGAGCCTATAAATAGAGCACTCACCGATTCATACAACACACATGTCTAAGGGATGCATATAGATCCCATTTTCTAGTCAGTGTCTACATGCATACAGTAAGTTCTGTCCTAAAGGCATTCACTTTTCCGAGGCAGTTGCATATATAAAGCCCATCCATTTCCGTGCAAACCAAGCTGCCTCTGAGCCGTGGAAGACACATAAGAAGCAAAGACAGACAAAAGGCGGCTCCGTGGCCACAGAGAGCAATCTTACCATAAACTGTACATTGTCAAATCCATTAGCCATCAGGTGGTTCTCGTACTGAGGTAGCCCAATGCTTTCCAACCATTGTCCCACTGTTTGGACGGGGCATCTGGGTCCTGTAAGAGGATGAAGAGGGAAGCGTTTTAGCAGGGAGTAGCCATCCACGGGGTAATAGCGGTAGTCCTGGGCTGAGAGGTGGCATTGCCACATCATGCTCCGGGGAAAGTTGTTCTCGAAGGAGCCCGCCAGCTTGACAGATTAACGTTCTCAGCGAGAAAGCGAAGTCAGAAGTAACACATAGTTTGCCGGGAGAGGCTGCGGAGTATGACTTGATCCTAGCTCCACATTTCCTACATATTAATCTTTACTACCGACCAGTGCGTCATACAGCCCCCGAAACCAGGCAGCAGAAGAAGGCATAGCAAGCTGTCAGCCTAGGCTGCTCTGCGTTCTGTGTGACTGTGTGAGTACTCCACAGTGAGCAATGCCCGGCCAGCAGCCAGAATTCTTTTTATCAAGTAACTCCTACACTCGTCAGTATGCGGCTCCATGCTCCTTGCTCCCCCTCGCTCGCTCCCCTTCATTACCCAGCCCAGGCTACACCTCGCATTTTCAATAATAGCCATCAGATAAGGCAGATTTTTTTTTGTCTGCAAGCTGTAAGCCTGCTGCTGCTGCTCCCTCCTACACACCCATCCAAGCGTCAATCTTGAATGATGAGAGCCGTCAAAACAAATGCAGAAAATAGCAAGACTCAAAAGCCAACCAAAGCGCCTAAATCGGAATCGAATCTTCGTCCTGGTTATACATTACCGAGCTATTTTGTTGTGGGATTTTTACGTTTCAAAAGACACCACCGGGGAACGCGGAGCTCACAACAAGGCTCGCACTACAGGCTCCCTTTCCCCCCTCCTTCCTCGCCTTTCTCCCTTTTAAATGCACCAGAGGGAAGTGTTTCTGATGGAAAGCTTCACAGTGTAATTGTTCTCTTTCTTCACCATGCAGCATACAAGGGAACCTCTCTCGGTTATTTTTTTTTTAATTTTTTGAATTACTGCAACATATAGAAACTGCATCATAATCTGCAAGTCAAGATAATCCACTGCCTGCTCATTCCAAATAACAACGGTATTAGGCACAGGAAAAGCCTTTCCCCTCCTCTGGTATTTATAACCCTATCCACCAGGCACCCCATTCTAAAATATCTACAAAGGTAACGCTAACTGGGTGGATAATTTTTTTTTAAAATAAAGAAGAAGAGCCCTAACCAAAAATAATTCAAGAATAACAGATGTAAATGTGTGAGTTTTACTGAATGGCAGACAGACTGAGTAATTTATTTAATAATTGAGAGAAACCACAGATTAATAATAGAACCTGCAGAGCTACTGAGGAGAGGTTCACGAGAAAAATGAGCCTCAAAGAAAACTGTCAGAAAGGCTATTCAGCCCCCCTTCCCCACACACCCCCACATCCCAAGGAAGGACTCGCGCCCTGTGTTCCTAGAAGGCCACCATCTTCTGCTTGAATGCTGCCTACGACAGGGCTCTCACTACCCAGCCAAAGCCACCGTTCATTAGAAAGCTCTTTTACTTCCTCCTGAACTCCCACTCTCTGGCTCCAGCTCTGACTCCAGAGCCACACAGATGGGGAACAGAGCCTCTTCCACGTCAAGAACTTTCCAAATTCAAGCTAATTCTCACCCAATCCACCCCACCCAGCCCTGAACAGTGCCTGGCACACAGTATGCACCCAATAAATATTTACTGTGTAACTGAACCCTTCTCTTTTCTTCTTTAAGTCTCATCTTTCTGCTTCTTTTCTCAGTTTAAGGGCATTGCTAATCTCCCTGGCACATAGACATTCAATCTCAAAGCAGCTTCCACTGCTGACAATGGTCTTTGAGCTCTAGCCCCCTCCCCTGCCCCCTCTCCTTTGACTTTTGTCTTCTGTTTCCTGGCACCTGGCCTGAGGTAACAATGCCCACTCCAATGGTCTTAAATCTCCGCTATATTTTTAATCATTAAAAATGTTTTCATACTGTGCATGCGCACGTGTGTGTGTGTGTGTGTGTGTGTGTGTGTACAGACCATAGTGCACACATATGAAAGTCAGAGAACAACCTGCATGAGTTGGTTCTCTGCTTCCACCCTGTGGGTCCCTGGGATCAAACCTAATCAGGCAAGTTCCTTTGCCCATTGAGCCCTTTCTTGCCCACATCACACCACAGTATTTTAAAGAATCCAACTTACACACAGCATTAGAATAATTTAAGAAACAGCTTTGGTAACTAACTCTTATATCAAAAACCCTGCTGTGGTTTCCCGCTGGATTAAAAATGAACTCTCAACTCTTGGTAACATTTTGAGGATCTCATCTAGCTTTCTAACCCTTTTCTCAACACTGCTTTCACAGTTCTTAACCAGGGGAATTTCTGACTGGTTTTTGAAGGAAGGCTGAAATGAGCTTGGGTTTTATTTCAACCCTACAACTCTTCTGCAATTTCCCTTGCGAAACCTCTTCTAGTCCTCCCAACAGAAAAATGTTTCTTCCTCCTCTCTCTTAAATGGCATAATTACCTTCTATTATAACAATCGTTTTCTAACTTACATAATCATTATTTATGTCCAAGATTGTTTCCTGAAAGCAGGGAACCCGTTTCTCTGATACTGTACACTGTATGTGATCAATTTTCACTTGATTGTCAACATGAAACAATCTCAAGGTCCAAACTCCAAAAAGCTCTTTTATTTTCCAATTGAGAATTTTAATTGTATCATTTTGTTTTACTGGGTAGTTACCTTCTTTTAAACTCTACTAAGTATCTGATTTCTTTATAAAAGGGGGGGGGTATTTTGGGCTCACCAGAAATGGAAGCACGAAAGAGAGAGAGGTGGAGGATACCCATCGCAAGATTGCTTCCTGGATGTGACAGCCCTACTGCGCATGTGAACTCAACAGTGGTTGTGACTAGATGCACAAGACTTGTACAAGACCAAGGCCACCAAAATCCTAGTATGGACAGGGAGGTCCATGAAGTGCTGCCACCTGGTACAGAGCTTTTGGGGACTGATGGCCACTAGTGGAAGAAGAGTCAGGTGTCTTCAAGGATGGAGCCCCTGAGAGGCTATCCACAAGGAACAAGCAGAGTTTAAAAAGTGGGTTAAAAAAAAAAAAAAGAAGCACATGAACTTGGGAAGGAATGATGACAGGGGATGAGGGGGTAGAGGGGAGGGGAAGGTGGGTGGATTTTATTCAAAGGCAATGTATGCATGTATGAGATTCCCAAACAAAAAAAATACCAAGACATTTTAATTTTTAAATAGAATTTTCAGGTGGGGATTTTTTTTTTTTTGCATCATCTTCATTTTCTCCTTGAATGAGCATGCCCAGGTGAAGTGTATTATACTTGTTTATACTTTATCTCTTTTTGCTCCTAGATCTTTTAAGGATATCAAAGAGGTAGTAGAGTTGCATGCACCAACTTTAGGAGACTATAGTTATGCAACATGACCTGCATGAGACAATGAGGACAAGACGCTCCTTGCGAAAGATTCGATCTAAAGCTGCTACCACGTGCAGTCTAATGGAAGTCTCATAGTTCTCGGGTTCCCACTGACAGTGCTCTTCCTGGCCATTTTATGAGAAGGTAAATCAGCTCTGTAAAAACGGAATAAAAATAACCAGGGTATATATTTTTGCTTGGCAAGGCATATACTGACTGGATTGCTTGTAAATCCCATCTCATGTTTTAAAATCCAAACCAGTGACTAAGTGACTAGCAAAAGTACCATTCAGTTATTCCATATTAAGTCACACTCATTAAATGAATGAATGAATGAATGAATGAATGACTCTGGAAATGGCTGTTGGTTTCTTAACAAATAAAAAGGGAAAATCATTCTATAAACAGTTTAGAGAGATTATTTGTTATTATCCATTTTAACATTTTTATATGGACTTTCTAAATTCTATGATCTTAATTATTCAGTTCTTTGATTTCTGTTTAATAATTCTCATATGTGAGCAAAATGTAGGGTGGGGGTGAACTGGGAGAGTGTGAAACAGGAAAGGGAGGAGAGAGGAGAGGTCCTGAGGCATGCTGGTTTCTGATTTTTTTTTTCTGTTTTTCCTATGAGTCAGACTTCTAAAGAACCCTGATTTAGGCCTGAAGATCACATTTAGTGTCTAAATATATTCTTTATTTTACTCAAAATGCTTTCCTGGAGTTTAAAATTCTTACAAGCCATTACTGGGCAGGCACTTTTATTCAGTGAGGACCTCTGTGATTTTTCAAAGTGAGTATAGTAAAAGGGAGAGGAGGGAGTGTATGAATTATTGCCATTGTGATAAAGTTCAAACTATGTGATAGGACCAGGGACTTCCCTTTGGCACAGTTTTCTGAAAACATAATTCTAATGAGTTCTACTCCCAGAAACGAGAATAATTGCTCCAAACTAGGGTGGCAACAAAACCCAAACAAACAAGCTCCAATACCCCCCCTCCCCATACCACTGGAAGATTCTACAAAGTGCGCCAAGACCACACAACACATGGAAAGATATTATTTAAAACATTTCTAAACTGCCGTGATCAGGAGGGTTCTGTGGCTGGAGGGTGATGGCCGGCTTCTACCTTCCCTTGTACCAGAGTCCTCTCCATAGACGCTTTCTGTAGGAACACACTCAGGAGAACGGCACCTTCTTTCTTTAGCTCCTGGGCCATAGATAGGGAATCTCATGAGAAGGGGCAGGCCAGCCTTTCCGGTTTCTTCTAAGTCTGCAGACGTTAAATTCCCAGTGAGTACAGCTGGGAAGTCAGGGGCTTCCTTTGTCCACCCCACTCTTAGTCATGGGGTAGAATCTATCCTACTTTGGCTAGACCCAGAGCAGTTGGTGCAGGGCACTTAGAGGGGACAGCCCCGTGCTCAGAAATGTAAACAGAGAAGGACAATGCCAGCACCCACTGCTCATAGGACAGCTCAAAATTTTTGTCCAAGGGGAGTCTCATTCCTAGGAATCTAAGTTCTAAAATTTCCCCCAAGGGGTCAATTTATCTGAAACACAAGAGGATAAGGATGTTATCAAAACCAATAGAAAGCCAGGCACAGTGGTGT